AATCTCAATTAGGCCGCCCCCCCCCCCCCCCCTTACCGGCTCGCAACAGAGCACATTTGTTTCATGCCCCTGAACTGTATTAATTTTCTAACGACCCCTCGCTTTTACACCGCAGATTTATGTCACTAACTATTTTAGAGAAACAAAATACTAAGCACCAAACACAGTTGCGATATTTTTTTAAAAGAATCTCATTTAGCGCAGTTACCGGTATCTATAATTTTATTTAGTGTAATCGGCGACATCATATTTCCTTCATCTTCGTCTTGAAAAAAATGATGGTTGGGGGTGGGGCTGAAAACTTGATTAAATGCGTTAACATCGGCAATGAGTCAATGTGCCAAGTTTCAGCTCGATAGTTTGACAGGAAGTTGTTCAATTAGCGACCTGAATATTTTGCCAGGCACAAACAAAAGCAAAGTTAATATAAAGGATTTAAAAAACCTGTTTTTAATTCTTAGTTTTTTTTAAGTGTCATTGTGTCAATGGAATCTCACAGCCAAATTGTACTTATATTATCAATATATTTATAATCAAAGTAATTGACCATGGAAATAATATCTCCTTTGCAATACACAACGCAATTGTAATTTATTCTGTATGTCCATAGTTAAGTTTTAACTAAGTAAAATAATTTGTACGAGTCAAGCTAGTCTACATTTTTATGTCGAAGGTTAGTCACAGGTCTCATCGGGGCCCACACTTTGTGTTGCAGATGAATACTTAGCTCATGTCCACTTTGTAACAGCTGTAGCTGCAGTTTTCAGTCTATCAGCCCAGCTATAATTGCAGTGTTGAGTCTATCAGCCATACTTCTCCTCAAAAAGTCATTGTGAAAAGCCAGGCCTCAAACTTTTACCAACAACTGCCGTTCTATGCATAAAATCTAAGGGTCACTAACAGTGCCATTAGCCAAAGGATTGCTGTTGAGTGGTGAGCTCAGGCGAGATTCTGATGACTTCTCAGCTCTCTTTGGATTGTTACCAAAGTATTGAAAATATTATTTTGATAATATTTTGTTTTTTTTTAAACAAAAAAATACATTTAAAAAATAGTTATGTTAATTTATGAATTTGAAAATGAGAGAGAAAAGAGTTTTTAAATGTTTGTCAAAAGAAGCCCACAAGCTTATTTGAATAGAATTAAATTAAATTGAATATAATTATACCATGTAGTTGGATCTATGCTTTAAAAATGGCTGTAGAGTACACAAAGTGAGGATCTGGAAGATGATGCAAAAAACTTAGAATGAGTTGCTGAGGTAGAGTTCTCTAAAGTTTAGTCTTTAAGTAAAGTGTGTCCTACTTTCATAATGCAACGAGTCATCCGAGACCATTCCGAGAAGTCCTGTGCTTTCTCGAGTATCATCCATAAAAAGTAAAATTGCCGTTGTAAATATTTAAGTAATTAATTCAGACAATCGTCCTAAATTGTATTAGGAAACATAAATATGTGTAAGTAAGAGTTAAAAAAAAAAAATACAACAATTAGCTATTAAAGAAAAAGTCCACAGTCCGAGGGCATGGTTCTCTTCTTTTGTCGGTGTTGACACCTTCCACAAGAAAAACATTTAAATGGTTTATTTAAATGAAATTTTAATTATTTTTAATTAGGCTTCCAAAATTGGTTCTGTTAAATTTTGTCGATGTTTTTACTCAATTAAATGTCCTAAATTGTTCAGTTTGTTCATGTTCATATGTGAGTTGCAGGGGGGCTTTGTGCATATGTTGTATGGTATATTATAGTAGATAGTTGACTGTCATACATAATACTTGATGTCTTGGTCATATCTTGCACAAACCAGATACAATTGGGGTTAATTTTAAAAAAAAGAAATTGTGTGGGCTTTTTCCTTTCATTTTATATTTGAATTTTTTACATCATTTGAACAAAATTCATGTTCTACTTCGACCCTTTTTAGTGTTTTTGTTTGCTTTTTAATCCTCAAAAAATCTCTAAAATATACGTTGTTGTCAAATTTAAACAAAATATGATGTACATTGAAAATATTCAGTTTAATTAAGTCAATGCTTTTGCGAGGAAATCACATTGGAAGGAAGCTTTAGAAAATTGTTTCACCGCAGTAAGCTGCGCACCGAAAGCTTGGGCGCATCCTGGCACATATTTTTCTTGATGGATGTTCTGTTATTTTTAATTTAATATCTCCAAAGCAAGGCTTATGATTAACAAAAAAAGACATAAACTACAAATAATGATGATACTGTGAGAGTATTTTATAGTACTGAGTTAGCTCTTTGAGACTGTCTCTTTGCCATGCAACTGATTTAAAATTTAATTGATTCAACAGCATTTATATTTGTTACAGTTATATTGTCAACACAATTTTGGTCACTTAGTTTTTTTGTGGGTTTTTTTTACCATGAGCTGCAGTTTATATTTTTTAGAATTGTTTGATTACATTGAATCATTGCCATGGTCTTTATTGTTACATTTCTTGTGCAGATTTTTAGAAAAATTCTAAGAATTTGAGATAATTGAGTTTTTTTAAATAATGTTTTGAACTGTTAAAGAGAAATCTCAGACACCTCCCATGTTAACATTTAATCTCAAATGCTGTAAAAATTGTTTTACAATTTTGGGGAAAATGAGACATACCGAAATGTATAATATTTTTGGGGTACAAATTTAAGCTTTTAACTGACATGCGATAAAAACATTCTGCATCTCTTGTCTGTCTATCGAGTTACGACAGTTGCCTAGGTGAACCCACATGTCCAGGTGTCCTAAATTTCCCGTCATGGGGGGAAACATGTCAACACTTGCTAATATTTCTGTGGCACCTTTGTGTTGCCTATAGTATAGGGTATAGCTTGGTGCCATTGGAGACAATGGTGGATGCATATGTCATTGTAACGCTTTACTGTGAGTTTTTTTAATTCAGTTTTAGTATCTCTTAGTTACTTCCATAAGCCTTTCTCTTAATCTCTGTTACAATAATGTAACTTTTGGATGTGTGAAAGTTGAGCAGGATTACCTCAGTGTTTCCCAAACTTTACCAACCCACCTTTTCGCTTAAAAATAAAAAAGCATCTTTTCCCAGCCGAAGAAGAGCCCAAACTCGGTCTCTGGGCTGTTTACAGGTGGATGGAATTTAAAATTCATGGGGATGTGGGAGGCTTCGAGATTCAGAGTTGATCCCTTTGAGGGGCATGTACCCTGTATTGGTCAGCGTTGATCCCTTTGTGGGGCATGTACCCTGTGTTGGTCAGAGTTTATCACTTTGTGGGGCATGTACCCTGTGTTGGTCAAAGTTGATCCCTTTGTGGGGCATGTACCCTGTGTTGGTCAGAGTTGATCCCTTTGTGGGGCATGTACCCTGTGTTGGTCAGAGTTGATCCCTTTGTGGGGCATGTACCCTGTGTTGGTCAGAGTTGATCCCTTTGTGGGACATGGAGCCTGTGTTGGTCAGAGTTGATCCCTTTGTGGGGCATGGATCCTGTGTTGGTCAGAGTTGATCCCTTTGTGGGGCATGGACCCATGGACATTAGTGGATTGTTTGCTTATTAAGAAATAAGTTTTGCCAAGCTTGAAAATCATAAAAAGTTATTTTTCCAAATATTGGATTGTGGATGCAGTTGTCCTCTCCCCCCCCCCCCCCCCCCCACCTCCTCCTTTGTTCACCAAGTCATATAGTGTTGGCTCTGTTCTCGTGAATACCAACACCTTAAGGTTCTTCATAGCTAGTGCCCTAAAGCTGATCATCTCCACATATAGAATCACCAGTCTCCTCTCTGTCTTACTTTTGAGGAGTTGCTGCTGCTAAATAAAAGCATCAAAACATAAGTTTTGTGTCGTAAGTTTTGAATCGTAAGTCTTGATGCATCTAGCAAATATGAGAAAACTCGGGTTTTTTATCATTTCATGGTGTTTTTTTGTGTGCCTGAAATTCAAATTAAAGGAAAATTAGACAACCCCTAAAAACTAAAAACAAAGTTTCCGTATAAATCCTTTACGAAATGTAATATCGAGGAATGGGGTGTACTGCTGAAAATTTGACAAAACATTCTTACGCTTACAAGTAGCGCACTTTATCAGAATCTCAATTAGGCCGACACCCCCCCCCCCCCCTTACCGGCTCGCAACAGAGCACATTTGTTTCATGCCCCTGAACTGTATTAATTTTCTAACGACCCCTCGCTTTTACACCGCAGATTTATGTCACTCCCCCCCCTGTGAAAGTGAAATTTGCTCGGATAACTGATTATTGTAAAATAAATATTTGATTTTTTAAAAATTTATAATAATTTTTGCAGGATTTCTTTTACCTTTTTTCTTTGCCTCGTGCTTGACTGCATTGAACCTCTGGCCTGATGCTGGGTCAGTCGGACAACTTTGATGGTCAACTGCCGTTGGCCATAGTTGCTTTAAGCATTTGAAATGTCATGGATTGTAACTGTAGCTCAGGGGGACAGTGATAATATGAAATATAATTTATTCAACAGCTTGATCCCTGCGTTCATGCTGTTTTCTCATATTCCCATTGGGACAGTTGGTTCATTAAAATTGTAATACTTTAGTTGTCGTGATGGAAGCTTTAGTTCATGTGTAGGGATTGAAGAATTAGTTCAATTGTAGTGATGGAAGCTTTAGTTCATTTGTAGTGATTGAAGATTTTGTTCAATTGTATC